TCTATTCTAATTTATATTTGCCGATTAACTCATCTGGAATGCTATGACTCAGAACAGCTACACATGACTACTACCTCAGCCCTATGTGCAACCACTCCCTTAGTAAAGCTGCTTACAATAACACAGCACTTACCTGTCACCCAGTGGGACCTTAAATTCTTACACGTTTCACTTAAACCCAAACTTCATGCTGTGTTGTACTCTTACAAAAATGCAAACCCACATGTCTTCTAAAAAAAAGTACTTGAGAGGCTGCTCAAAGAAGAAGAATCAAATTTAATAATGAATGAAACCTCCTTCATCAGCACAAGAGGAAGCTAAACGTTTTCCAGTCAGGCCCAACCTGTTCTTTAATGATATAAGAGCATCTTAACGTCAGAAAGATTCGTGAGAGATTCTGCTGGATCTGCAGTGTGAGCAACACTCCATTCTCTAAAGAAAACCTGGTTAACAGTTCCAGAAACTTTACAAAGCCTGAGAGCTCCATGGCTGGGTCTGCTGTAGCTCCAGGAGTAGCAAAGGTGGATGGTGGAGCACAGCAGCACCTGGCCATGATTGCAGACTCCTCAGATGGGACACAGCTGGGCTGACATGAGTTGGAAGCATCACACCAGAGCAATATCACTTGTGGAGGGGTGCCTGTGGGGGGACTGCTTGGGGCACCCCATAGCCTGGGAACAGCAAACAGAGGCTCCACCATTATTGGTGTGGTGCTAATGGGCTCTGCTCCCGATGCTGGAAGTTCCCTTGGGTTTGGGATGCTTCTGGGGAAGTTTGGTAGTTTACAGGGCAGGGTCAAGCACACAGCAGCAGAAGGGGACACAAGAATCACAACAGTTAGTATAGCACTGTATACCAATTCCTGGCCTTGCCTCATGGGTCTGTGTAGGGCTGCTGGGAGGCTGTGGAGCAATGGTCTCAGTACACCAAAGAGCATGCTTTGCAGCACCAAGTGGTGTTAATTATATTGGCCAAGATTCAGACAGCTGGCGAGGAGTCAGGCCTTTGTTAGAGGGTGACTTTCAGAGTGAGGAAAGCTGGAAGATCGTGACTTCTGACAACAGCCCCAAAAGCAGGTTGCCCCACCTGCAACTTCAGAACAAGTAGCTTGCCCTGGTCACTGAGAAGAACATACAGGAATTTATCAGATCCAGCTGGGTTCAAACCTTGTGTCTTCACAGAGGATAAAAGAAGTGTGATAGCTATTGGAGACACCTAATCTGCTGACCTGCCCTGATGATATCTTGGGAAATCTGCCGCTTGCCATGAGACCAGGATCCAGGATGTTACCAAGGCTTGTCCAGAACTTGGACTATTACAGTGCTTCCATCTAGGCACCAACAGTACTGCCAGGGCTAATCTAGAGCATGTTGAGAGACTGCAGAGTTCTGGGGGCAGGAGTGGTCTAGGTGGTGTCTCCTTAGCCCTGCTACTCAGGTTAATGGGCTTGAGCAGAAGTCAACTCATCTGTAAGGACAACACCTAATTGTGTTGCTGGTGGTGTAATCAGAGCATTCACATCTGTGGCTGCAGGACATTCTCTGGTCATGCACAAAGTACTTCAGATACACAATAGCAAAACTGACATAAAAATACAAACATAACAGCATAGTAAATGATTTAACTTCTCCCATTTCTCTTACTGACTTTGATTCTTCCTTCTGAACTAGAAAGTTCTGTCATGATGTAACTGTAACCAATGCTCCGAGGCTGCCTCCAGACCCACAGTCATCTTACAACAGCTGTTTAGTGATGTAAGGTAAATGGTATTATAGAAAAACCTGTGAGAAATGAGTAGAACTATTTGAATGAAGGTAATTGTGCAAGAGTCATCAGCAGAGCAAAGCAAGTAAGTGCCAGTGTCAGTTATAGCAACTGTAAATGTGACATGAGTTGTTCAGCAGCTTCATGAGACCTCATGAAGCAAAGAGCACAGATAAGAAGGTAGAAGCTTACATGGAACATATTTGAATCTTGTTTGAGAAAAGAAGTGTTGTTCATGGTTGTCTGTATCTATATATTATTACTGTCTGTGCAGCATGTTATCCATGCTGTTGTGTAAATACAAGGAGTTTACACAATACTGTTACACCTCAAGAATCACATCCCCTGCAAAGAGGAGAGCATCTGTAAGAGCTCTCTTGAGGAGGTCTTGTCTATTGCAACAATTTGAGATACAAATAATAATCAGGACAGTAACCTTGAGACTTCTCCTGAGGCTTAGCTACATTACAGCTGGAAAATCTAAAGGCATTCTTGATCTCTGACCTGAAGAAAAGGATCTGAAATGTGACCCATATGAATCGCCATTTTTTGAGGAGAGACATACAATGCAAGGAAGAAAAAAGCAGTGACTGCTTAGGATGGAAAAGGGTGGTCTCACACTCGATATCTGTCTCTTGGGGACAAGAGATTTGCCAGAGGAAATATACCACCTTATGCCCATTGGAGATGTTCCATTTCATGCATTTGAGCAGTGGATCCTATCATTGATTTTCTGTCCTTCCAGGTAATCAGTTGTAGGCTCACAATGGGAGTCATTAAATGGCAATGTGTATACCAGCTGCAACTGTGTTCTTGCTTTCCTAGCTTTTAGTTCTGTGCTGGTAAAATACTCTAATAAACCTAGAGCCCATGGCAGCAAAATCTGTATTTTTGTATAGCATTGAAAGGAACATTTTTTCTACCTTAACTTCCAGACTCACCTGACAAGATAGTGCCTGACATGACTTCCCTACATCAGAGGAAGTAAGAATGGTACAGTGTGATTGTCCAACTAATATTTTTTGCTTCTGGAAAACAAAGGAAATTTCACCATCATTCCAATAGTAATATGACTTGCATTTTACTTCTTCCACCTAATATGCTAGAATTCATTCTTGTTTATATCTATATATCAGTCCCTGTAGGGCCCATGTAGGGCTCAGATTTTCTGTCATGGGCCATGTCTTAGATTCTAGCCTGAATATACAGTGCAATTCAAGACAAAAGTAACCATAGAGCAAGAAGCTAGGAATAAGGAATATGTAATATGCCTGGGTAGAATGTGGCTGAAAAGCTAATCTAATCCACTTCTGTGAGAAGAGGAAGGCTTTGCAAGGCGAATGTTTTTTGATAGAAGCATGAGAGAGTAGACCATGAATACATACAATAACAGAAGTCTCTGGAAAATATACATTAGTGGGATAATTTTTTTCGTATGGGATGAACAAAAGCAGCAGTTTATTCTTGTCTTACACACATGGCACAACATACAGAACCAGCACAAATAACTTACAAAATCTCATACACCATGCTTCCTCTCGAATAGCTTCTATTAAGTTACAACACCATAACAAATCAGGTATTTAGTTACGACAGATCTCCAGACATGGATAGTCTCCCATTCAAGGAGTTATTATTTTTGTAAGCTACTTAGACAAACATTATTTTTTTACATGTTTAATACAGTACAGTATCCTTAACAGAGTTCAAGATATTCACAATGAGAATTGAATACTTTATAAAACAGAAAAATTTCTTATCTCAGTACAGGTCTATATTCTCTCCTGCCTTGTCTGGTTTACAGATGAGTTACAAGTCATTTTTACTCAACGTTCCAAGCTAAACATTGCTTTAAATGAAAAACAAAATTCTATTTACAGGGGGTTTTTTTCAGACTTAGTAAAAACGTCTTTGCTTCCCTTTCCAATTCCTACCCCCTATCCCCATCAACAGCTGCCATTTAGCTGGTAGAAATATTAACCGTCAAGTTGCTATAGAAACTTGAAAGAAAAAATTGATGATGACTCGTTGGATGCAAAATTAAAGATAGTCACAGCCCATTATTAATTCAAAAAGGTGGATTTTTTTTCTCCTAATGTCAGAATGTGTATCCATTGGAGACATATGACTCCTGTCATCTGATTTTTAGAGATAATGTACTACTTATGAGCCAACAAACAAAATCTCATTTTATTTTAATTCCAAGCTGTCCCACTTTCTTTCATGCAATCACTTGCAGTACAAAGTTCTTTTCTTACTACAAATTCTTACAACTCTGGTTGTGTGGTACTGACTTAAACTTTCCCAATCTCCATTAAATCAGACAGTGTCTCCCCTTATCCATGGTCCCATTGACATTGCTGGGTTGACACACAAGAAGAGTTTTGCTCTGTGATTGCACTTGAAACCCCACTGAAGCCTGTGGGCATCTTTCTTTTTGTGGCTTTGGATTAGCTCTGCTTGAATGCGGCTGGCAAACTCTAGCCCTTAAGCAGTTAATCAGCTTTCTAAAGAAATAAGCAAAAAAGATTCCTTTCCTTTATACATAAAATATAAAGGTTTTTTTTACATTGAGTGTTATCATAAAAAGCATGTTTATGTTATTTTGAAAATGTATTTTTACATAAATTTATAAACACTGTTATATCAAACACATTCTCAAAAACTGGAGAAAATACCAACACAAAAGCTGGAAGAGACTCAGCTGAATTCTTCCAGTATTATTCTTCTACTTGCATATTTCATATTTCAGTGTCCTTTACTGCAAACATAATTTGGCCATGTGAGAACAGGTAAAGCTGAAAACGGATCTCCAACAGTTTTGAATAGTAACTAGATCTACTGTTTAATGAAAGTATTTTGACATCCAGTGTATGATTTTTTTACCTGGCATGCCCATTCTGTTACTTTCACTTCCATTGAGCAATTAGTTTGCAAATAGTCCAAATCACTTGAGTGGGATTACACATGACAAAATTACATAAGCAAAAATACTGAAAATGGTTTTCCATTTTTTAAATCCTTCTCATGGCAACAACTAACATAATTATATTCTTCTTTATGTATATTGCAATTGAAAATGATGTAGGAGTAATATTTGCAAACAATTCTGTATCAGAAATCAGTATACAAATTTTAAGAAATAATCTGCTTATAGTTGTGCTATAGTTCTGACAGCCTAAAAATCTATCTGCCTATCTGGTGTGACCAAGAGTAAATTTCACAGGTCTAAATACTTTATTTATATATTTATTTTTTCTATGTTACACTTGTTAATCCCCAAGCCTGACACAGTTTAAGTTTAAACATACATACGACACACTAATATGAAATCAGGATTTTATGTTCCCTTATCACCATCAATTTTCAGTACAAACATTAATGGATGTTAATACATATAATCTAAGTTAAATGCACTTTTCAAGTAATTTGTCTAACATAATATTGGATAAATGATAATGTGATCTTGGTTTCCTATCCTGCAAAAGTTTAAAAATGCATTAAACTTTCTATGTTAGGAGTAGTCTTACTGACTGTAATGGTGTTAGTCACAATTCAGTAAGTTAAACAGCAGAATAAGGTTTTGTTCTCTGTCTCACTATTTTGTTTGTTCTTTAATGACACAAAAGAAGAAACAACTTTAAGTATTACTGAATGGCTTAAAACGTAATTGGTGAAAGGTCATTGACTGCAATATCCTGTATGTTACCTCATCTCGATGGAAATGCTTTCCCATGGCTTGAAATGCTTAAAGTATAATCCTTGCCAGAGGAAAAAAATGCAAGCCATATCTAATCCAGCTATACTGTAACATGTACAGTCACCCGTAAAGGAGCCCTTTTAACAAAACAGTGTATGTTAACTTGCTCAACAATTTGTAGAATGTATCTATTTCGGTCACTGTAGTAAAACAAGTTATATATATGCATATTAAAAAAAATCCAAGTGTAAATAATTATACAGTATTTCGACAGATAAAACAATTAGTTGCAAATGATGTAAAGTAAATTGCTGAAAATATCTTCAGTCTTTGGGATGATCAAATTATAAATAATGAAAAATTACAAATAATGATTGAATTTTCATAAAAGAAGGTTTTGGATGGAGGGGCAGAAGGAGTTTCCCTCCTACTCACCCTCATTCCCCATGGCTTTTACAGACTCAGCCCCTTCCCCCATAAGCCACAGATGGTTTTTTAAGATCTAGTAATGTATTTTAATGAGGTTATTTTCTTCTGTATAGCAGTACTAATAAGGTTTCCAGTGACTTTTTCATAAAACATAGACTGTTCTTATTGAAGTTTATAATGCTTCAAAAGTTTCAGGTTATTTATACTCCAGAAAAATATGAATCTGATCCAATCATGTTAAAGTCTAATGAAATAGAAATTCTTTTATTTACTGTGAAAAATTAGGTACCTTCTGTTCTGATAATTCAATCCAGTTTTTATTCCCCCACCCCTCCAAAAAAAAGTCTTGTAATTCCAAGCCTGTAATCATACATAACAAAGAAAGAAAACTGCTCCTTGTTTATGGAAATATATATATAGTTTTTTGAGTTCCAACCCCTCTCTAAGATGCTAACCATCACACAGCATATGCCACTTGGCAATTTGTCTCCTAGGATATTCACAAATTTCTTTCCAGTGCTCTCCACCTGTTCCTTCTGCTGAAGATCCCAAGGTTAACCGGCCAATGACCTCATTCCTTGACCCCCTATCTGAATCTAAAACCAAAAATTCAATGCTGATATCATCAAGGCCCTCACAAGGAATGTCAAAGACAAACAATTCATTGAACACTGCATTGGGGGTGCATTTCTTCACGTGAGTTTTCTTTTTAGAAATTCTCTTCTTAGCGTGGTACAGGTTCACTTTGACATAAGGGTCTGCAATGAAAAGAAAGTTCACAGATCAGCTGTTGAACAGTGTTGTTAATGATAAATTTCATAATTTACCAACATAATTACATCAAAATGAGGAGATGTTTAAAGTATATGATTCATCTCATCCAATTTTTGTATTTACATCTGAATTAATCCCTTTAAGCTCCCTGTATGGTCACCAAAGTTGTAATCAAGATAGTCAGTGAAGTTGAGGGTGTGATTCATCTGATTAAATACAGGTGTTTCTTTCATGAGATAAATCCTACCCTGTAGTCCATTAACCCTAATAACATCTCTACTGTATGTAAAGGTGGTCTGAAAATACACAAAATTCTAATGGACTTGACAAATATGTATCATTGCATATTTATATGTAACAGAAATCTGCTTTACACACATTCTACCAGTAGGGGATAAGCTTTAGTGGTAATAAGACTGATGCAAAGAGCTTCAGAAAGGCTGAGAATAAGTTTGTGCTGAGTGAATGGATGAATAGATGCAATTAATTTTTGTTGTGGTTCTACCAAAGTCAATTAGCTTGATTAAATTACTCCCACCAATTTTTATTGAACAAATTTAACACTTAACTTTAAATGTAAGGATATATTTATTGTTAGGATATGTACTTGACTTTATGTCTGTGCCGTACTACTATTGAAGAAGGAAGGGAAAATGTCCATATTTTTAGCTGTCAGACAACTTTGAGTGTTTGTATTCATTGTAATTATTCAACTATTGCAAGATTCCTTTGCTATAGTCTTCAACAATGTCTCTGTTTCATCCTCCAGATGAATTCTAGAGAATGCTTTATATATCATCCTTTTCAAGTACCTTGGCATTTATTTCAGTGCAAATGTGGGCCTGTTTCCAAATTTTCATGGTGCAAAGATGCAGTACAAATATCCTTTCTACTGAACCCAGTCAAACAAGATAGTGTCTGTAAACAATTTGCTAATAAATATCAGGTATAGTCGAATATTAAAAAAAAAAAAAAAAAAAACAAAACCAAAAAAAAAGTAAAATTGAAACTAAACCATATTTAGAAATGTTGTACCAAAGTTATCAGACTGAAATGATTAAAAGGTTTTTCTTTCCTTGAACTGACAATAACTTAAGAGGAGTAAGGTATGATAGAGTACATCTTCACTTTCATACTCTAACACCATAACAAACATTTTAAATTAAAGTTTAATATCATTGGCGTTGGAATGAATATATGCCACAAACGCATTAAAAATATCAAAATCAATATCCATTAGTGAATTCACTCTTGTTCATTTTTGTTTAAAGGACATTTTCTGATGATTACCTCATCCAACTACTAGATAACACTAGAAAGTTTCTCTTGATTTCATTAGGTCTATTAGGACACCTCAACACCAGTGATCAAGGAAACCAAGGAGATTGTGGGAATGGAACAGCTTCTAAGTAAAAAAGTTCCCATATCCCTGAGAAGATTGAGTTATGCAATTGTTTATCTTACCCCATAGAAACACCATTTCACCCTCCTCCTTGTCCAAGATCTGTGTTGGGCAGAGGGGAAAGTCACAGAGGAAATAAGGACTGTTGTGAGTGCAGTTTGTTACTGACACCCAAATATCTATTGAACCTGACCTTGCTGACAAACATCAAATAATGAAGAATTGTCTAAATGAACCAGGTGTCCAGGCATACCATAGATGCCTGTATCTCTTTATGCATTACATTCCTTATACATTACATTCCATATTACATTCCTAATATAATTAGCTAGGTCTTACTGAAGAAAGCATAAAGATCAAACAAAATTGATAGCTTTACTTTTAAGAAATACAGTAATGACATGTGTAGTTTGGATGTACTATAGGGTCCAGGTGGCTGCTGAAACTAGGTAGGCTTTTGTTTTCAAGTTATTTCCCACTTGGCTGAACCTCAGTGAGGCTTGGTCTATTGAGATCAACTTGCTGTTGTGTTATCGTCATGTAACCTCCACTACCTGCTGTGGCTCTGGGGTTTATTATTAAAAAGATATATGCTCTCTTAATATGGAGTGAACTGTTGAGCTCCATTTGTATCCTTTATCTTCATATGTGAATAAAACTGAGGTCATGAGGAGGATTTCAGTGGAACTTCATTATGAAAATGGGAGTTATCTGTAGCTTTGTTGTATTGAATCTAGCATGGGTTAACTCTGTAGGTAAATTGCAGTATTTCTTTGTATGAGAAGTAGAAAGACTGTATTATTAGTTGTAATAATTATGATTCAGTTGCTTACAAAATTACTTCCTCTTCTGCTTCTTTCAAAAAAAAAAAAAAAAAACCTATGTAAAATGGAAGACTACCAGTCCTATACAGAATTATTAGCAATTGTCCTACCGTTTGTATGTCCTTTGCTGTGTACTGTTTTTTTTGTGTGGTTGTCTTATCGTTAGTATACTGTATATTAAATTTTATTCTGTTATTAAGTTATCTAGCATTAATGTGCATCTAAGTGCAATTCTATTATTGGCTTCAAAGGAAGTTCCACTGAATACAAAATAGGATAAAACCGGGAAAAGGCAGTGCAAAAACTGCTCTTTCTTAGAGCACCCCAAATACAGCTCATGATAAAGCATGGCTGTTATGTTACAACCTGCTTCCAGCACTGGCATAGTTCACCTTTTCAACCTTGCCAAATAGATGTTAGTGCTCAGTGGGCCAAATTCAACACAGATGTAACTGATTGCTTTTCTTGGTGCTAAGCTGAAATAAACTATATGATGATCTCACTAAATACTGATCTTCTATAAATAAACTGATTTTTTTGTCATAAATAAAAGCTTTTACTATCTGCAAACAACATCCCATACTTATGGCAGATTTGGTTTTCACTGCTAACAGATGTCATGGGTTTTTTAATGTGATTGAAGAACAAATTTGTAAAATACATACCCTGGAAAATAAAGCGTTGACCTAGATATAAGTAAAATGAGTAGGCTGCAAATAATAGAGACATTTCTGCATTTGTGGGATATTTTTAGTCTTTGAAATTCCACATTTCAACTGTCTTCTGTTTGTTTTGTATTCTTAGAGCACATTAATTAGTAAAACCATTACCTGATAATCCTGACACATCAGATTTAGGTAGATGCCTCGCTTTTAAAACAACCACAGTAAGCGTATTTGTTGTAGACTGATAACAGAGAGAGATCAGTAATTCTCCACGCCCAGATGATTTCTGAGGAAATGAAAGAAAGAAATAAATAATACTATTTATAAGCAATTATATTGACCAAGTTTTAAACCAGAATTAAGAAGATTTATGAAATGTCACATAACTGTATGCTCTGAAGTGGTATAAAAGGATATATCTTATAAATCTATGATGCTTTATATAGCAAAAATAATTTCCCTCTATTGTAGTTATATAACTCTTCTTATGATTGGTTATTTGACTAAAAAAAAAGTAAACAACAAATAAGTAAAAATATAGGCTGACATGACATCATTAGCTTCAGAGATTAGAAATTAAGTCCTCTATCCTGAGAAAAAAATCTCAGTGAATGAAAAAGATCTTAAGCAAACCAAAATTCCATAAATATATATTGAAAAAAAAAAAAAAAATCTAACAAATATAAATTTAAAATATCCAGTAAAATATTTTTAAACAGGAAGGATTCAAAAAGTGGAATCTCATCCCTGACACTTTCTAAAGTAGTATAACATACATAAATTACAAATGAGATCAAAGTCTTTCTCTATGATTATTAGATTTGAATTTGCAAGAGTCATTTATTTCACAGAAAGGAGGAAAACAAGGGAAACAAGTGAAAATAATACCTTATATACCAGAAAAAGTAACAAGTTATCAGCAAAATATCAGCAACATAGTTATAGTTGTTGTAATATGGTGATAGAATTGCAAAATAACAGTATCAGTTATAAGTATGTTGTCTGGTAGACATTTATTTGATTTGGCAGTATGCTTGATCTTTGAAAACAATCAGATTGAAAGTCAATACACATTCCACTTCCTTAGTAGAGATTAATAGATGTGTATGTGATGCATGTGCATTTCTGTGGTTCAGCTGTGATGGTTATAAAAGATCTTTATATTCTGAAATAAGACAACATGGTACAAAATATTTTTATCCCAGTGAAGTCAGTATGTTTTGACATTGACTTCAGTAAGTCTTTGGTTTCTCCCTTGTGTCTCACTGTCCTTAGTAGAGCTGCAGCCTGTGTCACAATTCTTGAGAGAAAAGGTAGTAGCAGCACTGAAGTGCAAGACAACATCATCGACAATACAGTCTCTAACAGGTTCCAATTCCTTAGCTAAAGACTGCCTGCATTCTTTAAAAAACTTCTATAAAACACAGGTAGTTGAAGTGAAAGATTTATATTGACTTTAATAAGAAAGAATGATTTCAAACAGAAACAGTGAGGGAGGAGAAGGGGAATAATATATAAATCTTTGCATTCTTTCCTTTTAAAGCAAACTAATGTGGATTGAGTCCTCTTAACCTAATGTAAATGGGTCCACTCAAACCTGCTGGATTAGCTGAATAAACAAATAGAGTTTAGGACATGAGCAATTTCTTGCAACATGCTCTTTGTAATGTTCTTTTATTACATTTGTGTAATTGCTTCCTCATACTGCCATTATGAAAGCGTCTCAATGACTTGCATGATGAGCTTGTTCCCTTTTCTTTCCAAGATGGTAGCAGCATTACACAACTAACTAACACTAGCACAACACTTTTAACATTTAAATAAAAAATATGTTACCCTAACATTTCTTTTGATGATCTCTCTGTCCATTAGCAGCCTTCCTTCTGACAGTTCAATTCCTGCGAGGGGAATGAGGACTTCTCCAATAACATCATCTCTGGAAAACCTGTCAAAGCTCAAGATCACAAAGTGAAGTGTTAAGTCTTGAATTTGGCTATAGGGGATCCCATAAAATGTGAAGGTCTCATCAAAAGCTGGATCTAAGGTTTTTCTCAGCACTCTGGTCTTCACCTTGTGCTTTTTCTCAGGCAGGATTGTCATTTTGATGTAGGGATCAGAAGTCATTGACTGTTCATCCATTGCTGGCAGCCCACGTGCTTCTTTGATGTTCACTACAAATGCCTTTTTCTCGAAGTTGTATTCTAAGGAGAAAAATAGAGTTCCTAGCTTGTCTTGTTTATCTTCAGATGACAAGGAAGTGATGGATTTTAAACTATCAGGGGATACTGAATCTTTCTTTCTTTCTGAAAAGTGCTTAGGAGACAAATTTTCAAGATCAGTGGAGCTCTGGATTTTAGGGGTAGTTTTGGGGAAGTTGCCATTTAGATCTCTCTTCTCCAGGTCAAGGTGGAGAGAATTCTTTGGCATCGTTGATTTGTTCTTTGCTTCACTTTTATCATCTGCTCCAAACTTCTTCTTACTATTGAGATTCTCGGGGTAAATATCAACCCCCTTCAGAACATGGACAAACTTATATGGAGGGGTCTTATTGGATTTGGAAGATTTACGTTGGCAGCAGATCCAAGCAAAAAGGGAGACAGAGAAGACAAGGCCAAATGCACTAAAGATCCCAACCACTGTAGGAATTTCATCTGTAAATCAAATAAATAGCAACAAGCACATAAGCAGCAATGCTTTGGACTCTGTGTGATATTTAATAAAGTAACAATTAAGTAAAACAAACTGATATGGGATGTTAATAGCAGCAGCATCAACAGACTGAAAGTGCTTTGCATTGTACATATTGCTCGCCACCTGCAGGCATGAATGTGTAGTCCTGTACTAAGGCACGCTTGCTATGTTAGTATTTTTCCATATACAGAATGTTTGGGAGGAAAATACTATTCCCATTCTAATAGTAATAACCATTAGTAATTGCTCGACTATCTCATCCCTCTGTGTGTAGTTTCAGAGTTTATATGTCTGTGAGTAATACCAGCTCTCAGAAGGTTTCAGCTTTGAGTTTATGGAGCTTTGTTTGTTAGATAAAACAGACTCTGAAATATGTGTTACTTATAAACATATCATCTGCTTTTCACACTGTTTCCTGGAATACTTTGTACACTCGATTAACTCATTTTTTTATGGTCTGGCCCCATAATTGCCTAGAGCCATCTCTTGAAAGAACTGAGTTTAATTGGACATTATAACACTCAACAGTTTCAATGGGATTTTCAATACTTTACAGCAGGAAGTCTATCAAGAAAATTTGGAATAATTATATATGAAGCATGTTTTCCAGATGGATGTGATATTAGGCAGTCACATGTGAGTCAAATGCTGAAAAAACTATTAAGAGTATCACTGATAACCACTAAGCTTTGTATTTAAGACACTATGAATCAAAGCTATGGCGAGTTTACAGGAAAGGTCACTACTTTTTAGGAGTATATAAGAAAAACATTAAACCACAATTCTCTTCTACATTAATATGATTCCTGTACTTAAACTGAATAAAAAGAAAACTGAGCAAATATTGCACCCTCCATTGTCATGCGAATACATTAGTTACATATAGAGTATCATTAGCCCTTCAAAGCATACATCAAAGGGTAAATGAGCACAACTAATTGGAAATCCAATTCTGCCCATAAGTAACATTACTAAGTGAGTTTAAACCTCCCACAATGTAACAATCAGGGCTTAATCTTTATTCCCTGCAACAGTGGAAGACCAGTAGAATATTAATAGAATTACATTGTTTATGTATAAAGGCAATTGTGTAACAGTTCTGGTTTTCTTGCAAATGATTAGCAGATTGTTCTGGATGAGAAAAGCAAAACTGTACCCCTCTATGTATTACTAAATCTGTTTCATCCAGGTAAAAGATGGGCAGATAAATGTGTTACCACTCTACCTTTGCTTTTTAGTGGAATGAATAAAAAAATCCACAATACTATCAGAACAAAATAGGACATAATGTTCCAGCACATAAAGGATCAGGCCTGTCTATTAATTTCTTCTGACAATATTTATGTCACAGGCTTTGCTGACAAGCTGTATCAGTCTACATACTTCATTGTAAGAACTTAATGAAATTACTAAAAATTACAAACATAACCAAAACGTATTTTTTCTGAGTTGAGCACATGGCACTGAGTTTCAAGAATTCCCTTGGCTGCAGAAATTTAAATATACATGGTATGAAGGTAGAAAGCAAGAAATAATTGAAAACTAATCAGAATATTTTAATGGCTTTTAAGAACAATTTGCACATTTGTAATACTTCTTCATGAAATGACAGACTTTCCATAGTAATGGATATTATTCTATATTTTGATTCTACTACTACTGAAAGCAGTGGTAGAATCAATTTTGTGTCTAAAATATTAATTATATTTCTTAAATAATTAGATAAGCATGATGTCACAAGTGTGGTTAGAAACATCAAGTGGGTGGGGTAGGAAAGAAGATGAAGTGGTAACTAAAATGGTTTTGTATTAATAACTAATTGTGTTGGAACCTGATTTTTTTGCTGTTTTCATAATGTAAATCAATTGGTTAACATTCAAGGCAGTGTATTAATAGGAAACATCAGCTATTGATTCTGGGAGAAGTTATTATTTCAGTTACATGATATAAATCAGCAGTCACTTCACTTAATTCAGTGGAATGATCCTTGAATTAAACCACTGCTAAAACAAATATAATCTAGGCTAGAGTCAATATTTGTAAATCAGAGTTCAGAAGCATTTCTACTTGCTGATTTTCTGAGTAAAGCTCTTTATATATCTATTTTATAAGTGCACACATATGACTGTTTCTGAAACTTCTGGTATCACAGTTAATCACCCTACATCCAGTGTGTAGAAATCACAAAACTGAAAAGTTCATTGTTATTATTGCTATTCTCAGTGAGCCCATATTGACCAAGATGCAGCTGTTTATCTAAAAACACTGGGATACTGTATTTTCATCTTCCTACCAATGTCCTTTACAAGACTACTTTTCACTTTAACTAATTATTGACAAATCTTTCTCTGCAACAAGAAAAAATGAATTACAATCATTCTGAGAATAGGTTGAACAAAGATTTTCTCTGTGGAACAGAATGCATTTGCATCATTTAACTCCAAAGCCACGCTACTTTAACCAAGACAGAGAAAACAACCCCAAACATATCTCATCTGTGAATGCACCTACACAAACCTTACATCTGTCCTAGTGCTTTACCAGGGGGAACGGGTAGGGAGGAAGGAAGAGAGAAAAAGGAAAGGAAGCACATTCACACAACTTCTGAGATTGAAGAGAACTGGGGGGGAATCAGGTTCCTCCCAACCAGCGGTGTGCTGGGAGGTGCTGGGTGGCTCAGCAGAGGCTGCCTGCGTGCCCTGCTCCTGGGGAGGGGAGCAGCCCCCAGCCCCCCGGGCGAGGAGTTGGGGCCGGGACGCGCTTACCGAACTGCTGGCGGCTGGCCGCGATCGGAGCCATGTTGGCGGCGTGCGCGGTCCGCGGTGCTGGGGCCGCTGTCCGCGGTGCTGGAGCCGCTGTCCGCGGTGCTGGAGCCGCTGTCCGCGGTGCTGGGGCCGCTGTCCGCGGTGCTGGAGCCGCTGTCCGCGGTTCTGGAGACGATGTCCGGGGCGCGGAAGCCGCCTCACCGGCTGTCAAGCGATCTGCCCGGGGAGCAAAACGAGCTGCCCTGCAGTCCCCCGGCTCTCCGCTCTCACAGCACCCGGGCAACCGTCTTTTCCAGCGAGGAAAGAAAACAAAACAAAACAAAACAAAACAAAAAAAACAACAACAACAATTAAAAAAAAAAAAACAAAACAAAACAACAAAACCAACCAAAACGGGGAGACACGAGCGGTGGGGAAGGTGGAGGAGGAGGCTGAGAGGGGACTGGAGGAAAGGGGGGAGGGGAAGCTTCGGTCCTCCCCTTTGCACACTGATTTGCAACCCCCTTCCTGTTTTGGCTCTTCTGAGTAGCTCCGCTCTGAGACTGAAGACGTGGTTGAAACCCAAATTGACGCAATTCTGACGTTACAGGGCTGAAATCAGCACCTTTCCCACCTCCCATCCCCCCTCCCCAACCACCACACCCTCTCTCCCTCCCTCCCTCTCTCTCCCTCTCTCCCTCCCTCCCTCCCCCCATCTTCTTTCTGGGATTGATCATGCACTCATCGATTATTTTAACTGCCCTGATGCAGGATATGAGCTCCCACCCTCCATCGGACACAGACAGTGAAATGCTAATGTGTGTGATTCAGTGCACCTTGTGTAATACATGGGTGTGTTTGTTTTGCTGGGGTAAGATTTATTTATTTGTTTATTTATCTATCAGCTGGACAGACTACAACAATGTGAAGGAGATGTCAACTCAGATGGTCCAGACACCTTGGCTCCAACTGCAAGGCACACATTTTTCCTATGATTGATGTGATACACTTAATAGATTTGAGTCATGAAAACTCCTGATGTGCCTTCTCCCTGTCCTTCTTCCCTGCTTCTTCCTGCCACCCACCCCCACATAATACTCAGCTTCCACTTTGGCAATCCTCTTGACCTTCCTGCAAGTCTAAGGAAAAGCTGAATCCACCTAGATACTTCTGGATTTTATCAGTTTTAGATGTCTGTCTCTCAGTCTGGACTGACAGTATAATGGGAAGGCAGGGGAAGGCTGGAAGACAGGAGCTATGGGGGGAAACAGGACAAGAAAACAGGGCTGCTGGTAGCTAGAACTGTTACATTGTATAATAACCCAAGCTAAATCCTGGTGCAACAGAGCTACAAAAGGCAGCACCTGGCATCTGACTTCTCCTGGATCCAGAAGGAATCATTGCAGCCAAGTTTGGAGCCCAACTGCTAATTCTGTTGCATAAATGAGAAACAGGTGTTGTTACTCTTCTAAATAACAAAATCCAGATGCAGGCGTAGTCTAGCATGACCCTGATCCATGATGGGCCACTTGGAAGATAGTATGTTCTGTCCCACTTTAAAGTATGTTCTTGCTTCACAGTGAAGTCAGTAAAGCTCCTTGGATTTTAGAAAAAAAATAAAACAGGAAGACCATAGAATCATGGCAAGCCAGTGTCAAAACACAGCTGAATAAAGTGTCTGGCTTATCCTGAGAGTTGAGAACCTACTGGTTAATATTGTTTATGCTTATCTGCTTCTGTTATACCTTCCACAACTTGGCCTTGATATGCACATGCACAGCTCTTCCAGGAACAGCCATAACCACTACCTCAATCTTCATTACATATGATCCCATCTAATAAAACACAGAGAATAGCTTACCATCACTTCTCCTCTTACAAACACCTGGACTACAATGAACTCAGGTATTAGAAGATTGCAGAAACAGTTGTTTAGCTCTTGTTTGTGTTTTGGCAGCACAATTTGAGTTGGGATGTTTGTGTTCACATGCTGGCACTAATCCAAGAAAATATGGCTTAACTTCTCTCTTCTTTCTGCCAGTCCTCCTTCCCCTAGCCCTGCTGTCCACTTCCCTTTCTCTGTCCAAAATCCAGCCTCGTTTAAAATGTGCATCCATTGAAAGTAACTACATTTGATTTTAGACCACATTGCAAGTATACAAACCTCCATACATGATTTAAATAAACAAGATCCTTAAATAAATTTAGAATTAAACATGTTTAATTGGGGTGTTAGATTATTGTGAGCTCTTACTGTGCCTGGACTTTAAAAACAATGGACTGAGATTCAATATAGTATATCTTGTCAGTGTGTTTATCCTATTCATGTTGGGATATGGTGAGCATATATATTATGTTGACACTTGAATTATTGTCAATAAGTTTTGAAGCTTTTTATGTTTATTTTTGAATTAAATCCAAGACATCCTTTGTTGTTATATACAAAATTTATGGAGCACATGGAAATATAACAGTGATTGATTTGGATTTTCTTTCCTTTAGTTTTTCAGATGTCCCAAGGATCTATAAAAAGCTTTAAGCTTTTACACAATTTATATGTGCACATTGTGCACAGAGATCATTTTCTTCAGCATTCAGGGTTTTCTTTTTTATTTTCCTCTCCCGTGACAGTGTTTGTGAAATGGGGAAGACAGATGTGCTTATTTTTTCCTTTTTTTTTCTCTCTTTTTTTTCTTCCTTTTTCAAAATTCCTGATAGTTCATGTTAAATTTTAAGTGCTAGTTAAGACCTGAATAATGCTGTGTGCTGTACCATCACATAGTAAGGAACCCGTCATTTCATCTTAGCTCTGTGCATGTGTAGCTCTTTAAAGCAATATAGAGAAGGTTTCACAATACCTGTTCTCTGTCTTTAGAAACTTGGAGCTGACAAGTCAGTGTATATATATAATCATGTGTAAACATATGTGTAAACATACAGATATGCAAATGAATTTTTTTCTCTATTTATTGCATTGGTCAGTGAAATAGCAAATAAACCTTTTTTTACCTTTCTCATGAACCTTCTATATTTAATTACATAACTCCACTTAATGGAACAGAGTATACATCACAGAAAATACTTGAGGCAGAGGTGGAGCATTGAGTTGCTGACACATCTTGAGACAGACACATTTTTTGCTCCCTGTGTTGTGCAAGCACCACCTAGTGTACATCTTAGACCCATCAGCACCAGATGACTAGTGTAGTGTACAACCCATTTAAGTAGTATATGCACAAAGATACACAACCAACTCACTGCAGCTTCATTACACTTTTGTCAAGTGAACAGAGGTAAAAACCATCATGTGAACTCTATGTGTTTCTTAATCAATTGACTATCTTTCAGTTCAGTCCCACACAACAATAATTACTCTCCATTTTTGTGTCTATATGATTTTCACATTTCCTTCTGTTCTAAGAAAGCATCCTGGATACTTCAGCAAAATTTCACACAGTTTTCCACAGACACTTCAATAAAAATTTTAGACTATGAACTCACTGCCCAGGTAATATTATCTTATTTTTTTCCCAGCAAGCAAGATACAGTGGTCTAAAATACTTTCAGCTCAGAGACAGAACATTAAAAAGAGCTGGTTCACATTTTGCCTGAACTGAGTAGAAATGGATTTGTCATCTGCAAAATATCTCCGCATGTGATCTGACTGACTGTATCACAACAAGGCCTCCTGTGGTCTGAAAACCAGATTACTGGTGCACATGCATGCGCAGCATCCTCCTGCTACTCCAAGAAGAGGGAGGTGGTTGCTAAGCGACAGAGTCCCTACACTTCCCAAAGCATATAGACCTCAAATAAGTATATGGATCTGGAAGAGGTGGTCTCTACCTGAAAATGAGCTGTCAGCATTCTTCAGATCCCAGAGCCTGTGTGTGAAGAAAACATAACCATCTCCTTTTTTTTTTTTTTTAAAAAAAAAAAAAAAAAAAAAAAAAAGAGTTATTATAAAAAAAATCCTCCCCCCTTCCTCTCCCCCCGCCTCACCCCATCCCAAAAGCTAACCAACATTTTAAAATATAACTTGGTGATTTATATGTATAAGGTGAAGCTGGTGAAACAGCCCCTTTCCATCTCTGTGAAATGTTTCCCTGGAGCTTAAAGACAGAATTTCACATTTTCAAAAATAGCATCTAATTTTGAGTTCTGCAGTTGCCAGATGCCAAACTACAGACATTAATTAATACTATTCAGTACCTATGAAAACCAAGCCCTGCAGACACACTTACAAAAAAAAAACTCAGTGAGAACACAGGTATTGGTTCCTGATTTAGGCACGTACAGAACATTCAATGCTTCTGAAAGTCAAACAATTTCAAAGGGATTTACAAAGGATTTAGGTAGTTCTACTCTGCTTAATTTCTGCTTCAGTTATCTCTGAGTTAGACAATGGAAAATAGCTAGCATCCCTCCATGTCTCTCAGAATCTGATGCTCCTTAAATGCCTAAAGACATGTCTTTGAGTGTTACACACACCTACAAGCCAGGACTTGCCACTTGAAGACTCAGTCTGCTGCCTATCTGGCCTTGCAGACTTACTGTTCCTCCTTAGGTTGTGACTGAATTTATCTTCATGCATTTTAATGTCCAGTGCTACATGAAATACTTTAGCATTACCTCCAGTTTCTGCTCCAGAATGGTGCACATTTTCTGGACTGTATTTACCAGTCCTATGTGGATATATCAGATACCACAGAGTTCCTGAAAGAACCAAAGAGATATGGATTTAGGTAACTGAATCAACCTCTAGCTCATATATCACATCTAGACATCTGATTTCAGGCTTACAAATCTAGAGATAAATCCTTGCTCTGGGGCTTGGTAAATGGCCTCTGAATATGTGTCTAGAGTCACTGAAAAACTTTAAACTTCCATATAGAACTAGTGGATGAAAGATAGGATAGCAGATGACCTGTACAAACCTGGAGTGACAGCCAGAGGTGAGATAGAGGTCTCTGCTAGAGTGGTTGGTCTAGGTAAGTTACCTCAAATGTCATTATATAACATAATTTAAGCAACTGAATAAATTTCCAAGCTCACCTACAGATGTGTAGAAGTCCAAACTGATGTTTTAATTGTGAAGTTGACTCATGTCCCAGGGATCAGCTTTAGGCTCAGCAGAGCCTTTCTCTTGACTCAACAGACTGTATTGACCAGATGCTCATTTTGTATGGTGGGAATTTAAAACACCGATTGCACATACAGACATGAAGTTTGGTATGCTAGTTTTAGGACTGACTTCTATTCCTGAGGTTAGGTGAGGCATCTGAAGTAACTTTTGCATTTACTGGTTTAAAAAAAAAAAAAAAAAAAAAAATTAAAACCAAGTATTTGTCTTCTCTGTAGTGACACTGTGTTGATCAGTGTCTCAATGAGATTGTAAGATTAGGTGAAGGATATAATTTCAGTAGTTAAATGGTGATATTTATATTAAGGAAGTACCATTGGTTGTTTGACTGATGACAAGGTTCTTCCAATAATAAGAAATATCACTATCCCTTCAGAATTTGGGTCAGCTTGCACAATGTTTTGCTAAGTACACAATTATATGTGTTTTATTTTCCTTT